CATTCCAATTTATTTTGTGGGGTATCTATATTCTATTTTTTTTAATTTATGGGTGGTGGATTTATGTTAATTATGAAATTTACTCCTTTTTTGTTTTTTGTTTGTGTATTCTATTTATGGCGTTTGTGTTTTATTCTGTTTTGGTCTTGTTTTTATTTTTGTTTCTTTTGTATGATGGGGGTTGTATTTATGGGGGTTAATCTTTGTTTGGTGTAGTGCTTTTTGATGTATTTTTTATATGGTGTGTAATTTTTCGTTTTGGTTTTTTTTTTTAAAAAAAATTTTTTTTTTTTTGGGGGGGTTTTTTTTTTTTTTTTGGGTTTTTTTTTTTTTTTTTTTTTTTTGGGTTTATTTTTTTTTTTTTTTTTCCCCCGGGGTTTTTTTTTTTTTGGTTTTTTTTTTTTTAAAAAAAATTTTTTTTTTTTTTTTTGTTTTTTTTTAATTTTTTTTTTTTAAAAAATCCCCCCCCAAAAATTTTTAAAAAAAAATTTTTGGGGGGGTTTTTTTTCCCTTTTTAAATTTTTGGGGGAAGGGGTTTTTTTTGGGGGGGCCCCTTTTTAAAAAAAAAAAAATTTTTTTGGGGGTTTTTTTTTTTTTTTAAAAAAAATTTTAAAAATTTTAAAAAAATTTTTTAAAAATTTTTTTTTAAAAAAAAATTAAAAAAATTTTGGGCCCCCTTTTTTTTTTTTTTAAAAAACCCCGGGGGGGGCCCCATTAAAAAAAATTTTTTTTGGGAAAAAAGGGGCCCCTTTTTTAAAAAAAATTTTTTTGGGGGCCCCTTTTTTTTTTTAAAATTTTTTTGGGGTTATTTTCCCCCCCCCCGGGGGGGTTTTTTTGGGGGCTTTTTTTTTTAAAAAAAAGGGGGCCAAAGGGGGAAAAAATGGGGGGGAAAAATTTTGGGTTTTTTTCCCCCAAAAAGGGGAAATTTCCCGTTTGGGGGGGGGTTTTGGGGGGAAAAAACCCCCAAAAATTTATTTTCCTTTTTTTTAAAAAATTTTGGGAAATTTTTCCCCCTTTTTTAAAAATTTCCAAAATTTTTTTTGGGTTTTTTTTTAAGGGGTTTGGGGGAAATTTAATTTAAAAATTTTTTTTTTAAAAAAAGGGGGGGGGGGGAAAAAAAAAAAATTTCCTTTTCCCCAAAACCCCTTAAAAAAAAAAAAAGGGGGGGTTTTTTAAAAAAAATTTTTTTTTTTTCCTTTTTTTTTTTTTTTTAAAAAATTTTTTAAATTTTTTTCCCCCCAAAATTTTTTTGGAAAAAAATTTTTTTTTTTAAAATTTTTAAAAAAAAAAAAAAAATTTTTGGGCCCCCTTTTTTTGGGGAAAAAATTTTTTTTTAAAAAACCTTTCAATTTAAAGAAATTTTTTTTTTTTTTAAAAAATTTGGTTTTAAATTTTTACAAATTTTTTTTTTTGGGGATTTTTTAAATTTTTTTTTCCAAAAAAAAAATTTTTTTAATAAAAATTTTTAAAATTTGGGTTTTCTTGGTTTCCTTTTTTTTAATTTTTTTTTAAAAATTTTTTTTTTTTTCCCTTTTTTTTTAAAAAATTTAAAAAAAAAAGGAAAAAAAGGGGGGGTTTTTTTTAAAAAAAAATTTAAAAAAAAATTTTTTTTAATTTTTTTTTTTCCCCCCTTTTTTTTCCCTTTTTTTTTTAAAAAAATTTTTTTAAAAAAAAAAAAATTTTTTTTTGGTTTTTGGGGGAAAATTTTTTTTTTTTTTCCCCCCCAAAAAAAAAATTTTAAAAAATTTTTACAACACACAAAAACCTTATTTTAAATTTAATATTAAAATTATTTTTTTTTAAAAAAAAAAAATTTTTTTTTTTTTAAAAAAAAATTTTTTTTTAAAAAAAAAAACCCCCCCTTTTAAAAACCAATAAAAACCAAAAAAAAAAAAATTTAAAATTTTTTAAAAATTTTTTAAAATTTTAAAAAAAATTTTTTAAAAAATTTTTTAAAGGAAAAAAATTTTTTTTTTAAAAAAATTTTAAAAAAAAGGGGAAAAAATTTTTAAAAAAAAAAAAAAAGGGGTTTTAAATTCCTTTTTTTAAAATTTAAAAATTTTTTTTTTTTTTTTTTTTTTTTGGGGTTTTTTTTTTTTTTTTAAAAAAAACCCCTGTTTTTAAAATTTTTTTTAAAAAATTTTTTAAAATTTTTTCATTTTTTTTTTAAATTTTTGAAAAACCCCCAAAAAAACACCGGGGTTTTAAAAAAAAAATTTTTTACTTTCCCAAAAAAAAAAACCGGGAAAAAGGGAAAAAAAAAAATTTTTTTAAAACCAAAAAAAATTTTTTTCCCCTTTTTTTAAAAAAAAAAGGGCCCCCCCCTTTCCCTTTTCCCCCCCCTTTTTTTTTTAAAAAGGGGGGGAAAAAAAAAAATTTTCTGAAAAAGGGGTTCCCCCCCCGGGGGGGGGGGCCCCCCCCCCCCCCCCCGGGCCCCCCCAAAAACCCCCCCCAAAAGGGTTTTTTTTTTAAAAAAGGGGGGGGGGAAAAAAAGGGGCCCTTTTTTTGGGGGGCCTTTCCCCCCAACCCCTTTTTTTTTTAAAAACCCGGGGGGAAAAAAATTTTTTGGGCCCCCCTTTTTCCGGGGGGGGGTTTTTTTCCCCCCCGGCCCCCTTTTTTGGGGGGGGGGGTTTAAAAGGGGAAATTTTTTTTAAAAAAAAGGGGAAATGTTTGGGGGGGGGTTTTTTTTTTTGGGCCCCCAATTTGGGCCCCAACCCCCCTTTGGGGGGGAAACCCCTTTAATTGGGGGTTTTTTTTTTGGGCCTTCTGTCTGAAATACGTCAAGGTGACCCCTGCTTCTGTTTAAATTAACCAAACATTTTTTGCAACCCAAAGTATTGTTATTCATGTTATATTCAGAATGAATTGCTGAGGTGTAACGAGCCGGTCCAGCCCCCAGGAATGCACAGTGGATCCTGTGATCGGCCACTTACAGTACCTTGATCAGTATGCACATAGCCTGGTGGAAAACAGGTCAAAAGCAAAGGTCAGGTTTGCTGGACAGCAGAGCCGTCTTTAATGAGGGGCAAAAGGGGCCCAGTCTTTGTTGTGGGGCCCAATTCAGCTGCACCATACTTGCCAATTGTACTGCTTTACACTCCCTTGTGCCTGGAAGTCTTTGTCCTAGGCTGTATCCAATATCTCAGTGTGAAGTGCTGTCACTTATGCTGCCCAGCCCTGTCCTATTGCCATGTACAGATGATTGAGGTGTTCAGAGGGTGTCAGCATTTACATGTAAATAACAGCAGCATTCATATGTAAATAGCAGTAGCAATGTGGCATTCATATGTATATTATGCCCCTCCAAGGTTCCAGCCACCAACACCTCTGCTGGTGGTCAGTGTAAATTCCCCCTTACATTGGTGGCCAGTGTATAAATTCATTGGGTGTTGGTGTAAAATCCTCCATTACATTGGATATTACTGTAAATTCTTCATTACATTGGTGGTCATTGCAAATTCCCCATTACATCATCAGTTTTAACAACCCCCCCCCCCCCCCCAACATTTGTGGTCGGCGTAGAAATGTAATTTTCCCATACAGCACTGCCACTGATCCCATCTTCCCAAGCACAAGGTCACCGGAAAGGTGTCAGACGTCTGGTCCCCACTGTTGCTTCTGCTGGACATTACATCATTACGGTACCCTGAAGTGTCACAGGTGTTGGCAGATGAAGCCTCTGAATACAGTGTGGTAGCAGCCATTGCAAAAGTTTAAGATACAGATGCTTTCTCAGCAAACATATCCCTTCAAGACATTAAAGATTGGTTAAACTTTTCAGAGCCGCTTTAATGCTTCTAATTATCAATGGCAAAATACTCTCTTTGACTCTGTTGGTTGGAATTTTCCTCACTTCTTGTCCCTGCAACACAAAGATAAAAAGTATCTGAAAGTTGTCACCCAGACAGGAAGGTACAGACAACAATAAAAACATTGTCAGAAATTCTAAACCTTCCCCAGTGTACTAGAGACATGTTTTATAGCTTTTTTTCTTCCATTAGAGAGATTTATCATTACTTCCTGTCCTGGAAACAAGTGTAGGGAAATCTCCTTAGTAAGGACACAAACAGTAAAAAAAAACAAAAACTGACATAGGTTCTCATTCTTCTCTTCTCTATCTAAAAACAAAACAAAATGTTTGGGCTCTATAAGCTGTGGACTCTGGGTGTGCTACACACCCCGTGAACATCATCAACGTACCCAGAACATGTGAGTATCTCTTGTCCTTCTGCTTTACCAACACAACTCCTTCTTGCACTTGTTGGCAATTCTCAGATGTCATAATGATGCCTGGTAGTTGCTGTGTAAACACACCAACTGTAAAACCACTGCCACAAAAACAATGGACTGTCTGACACAGTAAGGTGGGGGGTTAATAACTCATAATGCTCATAGTCAATTAGCTTCTATCTTTAATTTTTTTTTCAAACGGGTTTAAAAATCAAATTTCTCAGAATTGTTTAAAAATACAGTTAAAACACAAGATAGAGAGAGTAACTTTGTTACTTTTGTATCTAATATGTTTCATTCACCAGCAGGGGTGAGCTTTGACCTACAAATGCTAGTTAACCCTTTGAGGACCAAGGGACGTATTTGTCCCATGTTTGTATCATCTGATTAAGAACTTAAAACTCTTTTTTTTTTTGGTTTGAGTCAAAATATTAGTTCTTCTCAACAAACAACAAATGGATCTAGCTTTTTGCCAATTATTTCATGAAATGGCTTAGTTACAGCAACTGAAGTGTACAAACTTTAAAAACAAAAAAAATGATTCTTTTGGCATTCCAAAACCTTACGGTCCTCAAAGGGTTAACCGCTTGACTACAGGGCACTTATACCCCCTCCTGCCTCCTGCCCAGGCCAATTTCCAGCTTTCAGCGCTGTCGCACTTTGAATGACAATTGCGCGGTCATCCAACACTGTACCCATATGAAATTTTTATCATTTTTTGGTGACAGATAGAGCTTTCTTTTGGTGGTATTTAATCACCTCTGGGTTTTTTATTTTTTCTTAAACAAACCAAAAACCACTGAAAACTTTGGAAAAAAAAATTTTTTTTCTTAGTTTTTGTTATAAAATTTTGTAAATAAGTGATTTTTCTCCTTCACTGATATGCGCTAATGAGGCTGCAGTGATGGGCACTGATAATATGCACTGATGGACACTGATAGGTGGCACTGATGGGCACTGATGAGGAGGCACTGGTAGGTGGCACTGATGGGTATTGACAGGCATCACTGTTGGGCACTGAAAGGCAGCACTGATACATGGCACTGATAGGCAGCACTGATAGGCGGCACTGACACAGCACTGATAGGCGGCACTGACTGGCACTGATAGGCGGCACTGACTGGCACTGATAGGCAGCACTGACTGGCACTGATAGGTGGCACTGATTAGCAGCACTGATAGGTGACACTGATTGGCATTGATGGGTGACACTGAAAGGCAGCTCAGATGGGCACTGATATGTGGCACTGATGGGCACTGACACAAGGCACTGATGGATACTGACAGGTGGCAGTGCTGGCACTACACTGATCATCAGGGCACACTTATCATCAGTGCCCTGGGGATCAGTGTACATGTCCCCTCCTCTGTCAGCGTGACAGCTTGAGAGGAGAGAAATGCCGATAACCGGCATTTCCCTGTTTTCGTGTGATCAGCTGTGATTGGACACAGCTGATTACATGACCGAGCTGACATCTTCGGCTCTTTCCGTGATCGGTGATCCGCTGTGTCCGAGGGACACAGCGCACCACCGATCACTGCGCTGCGCGCTCCCTGAGCCACGCATGTGCGGTGAGAATGGGAGGACATCATATGACATCCTCCCAGAACAAGAGAACCACCTTGCGCCCGTCATTGGACTATATGGCGGGCGGGAGGTGGTTAAAGATATATCATTATAATTTCTATTTTACAGTTCTGCCCTGTATGGAAGAAAATACATGTAGTACTTTGTCCTGTATTTCTAAGTGCTTTCTATCCCTAGTTATGAGGTTAACCTGTTCTCCTTCCCTCCTGTTGTGGATTATCCAACAAGAGCTATGAAGGAGATGGCTGATTCAAAGCTGCAGTTTGTCGCACTTTCCCCATAAATGCAATGGCAAGAGGACTACAGAGGGAGGGGGACATGTCACCCTCTACATTTCTGTTAATTGGTAAGTAGAGCTCCTCATCTTATTATTTCAGCCAGACAAAAATTTCTCAGCACACTTGCCAGTCAACCAGCTTGTTCACTGGATTTGGTGTGGGGGACACATTGGATGCTCTAGCCGCCACTGTGCTCTAGCTGGGAATCCAATGTGTCCCTGTGCTTTAAAGGAGGAGTAGGCTTCCTCCAGGCAAACCTGCCCTTAATCTATCCACTGCTATACAGGTGAAACTCGAAAAATTAGAATATCGTGCAAAAGTTCATTTATTTCAGTAATGCAACTTAAAAAGTGAAACTAATATATGAGACTCATTACATGCAAAGCAAGATAATTCAAGCCGTGATTTGTCATAATTGTGATGATTATGGCTTACAGCTCATGAAAACCCAAAATCCACAATCTCAGAAAATTAGAATATTACATGCAATCAATAAAACAAGGATTGTACATACAACAATATCGGACCTCTGAAAAGTATAAGCATGCATATGTACTCAATACTTGGTTTGGGCCCCTTTTGCAGCAATGACTGTCGCAGTGCGGCGTGGCATGGAAGCTATCAGCCTGTGGCACTGCTGAGGTGTTATGGAAGACCAAGATGTTTCAATAGCGGCCTTCAGATCTTCTGCATTGTTTGATCTCATGTCCCTCATCTTTCTCTTGGCAATGCCCCATAGATTCTCTATGGGGTTCAGGTCAGGCGAGTTTGCTGGCCAATCAAGCACAGTAATCGCACAGTCATTGAACCAGGTTTTGGTTCTTTTGGCAGTGTGGGCAGGTGCCAAGTCCTGCTGGAAAATGAAGTCAGCATCCCCATAAAGCTCGTCTGCGGAAAGAAGCATGAAGTGCTCCAAAATCTCCTGGTAGACGGTTGTGTTGACCCTGGACTTAATGAAGCACAGTGGACCAACACCAGCATATGACATGGCTCCCCAAATCAACACAGACTGTGGAAACTTCACACTGGACTTCAAGCATCTTGCAATGTGTGCCTCTCCATTCTTCCTCCATACTTTGGGTCCTTGGTTTCCAAATGAGATGCAAAGGTTGCTCTCATCAGAAAAGAGGACTTTGGACCACTGAGCAACAGACCAGGTCTGTTTTTCTTTAGCCCAGGTAAGACGCTTCCAGGAGAGTCTCTGACCCCAAGACAATGTAGCATCTTGATCAACCTCAGGAGCCCGTGAAACTTTGTTGCAGCATTTATCTGGAGGTATCTCAATTATTAACTATGTATATACCTGGCTATACAGTATGTGCAAAATTCCACAAGGACTCTTGTGGGCCCCTTGCTGACAAACCTTTGCCAAGTGTTCAACCAAGGTAAAAAGGTTGAGAAACACTGATCTACAGTATACACTTTAGGTTAATGATATGTGGGTTGAAGTAGTTCCTCTGCTTCCAATTACTCAAAATATTATTTCTGGTTGATTTCTCAGAAAGGAAACCCCTTCTGTTTACACTTAGTGAAGGTTCTGGTTTTCTTCTTTACCTACAGGTTTAGCACAGTATTCTGTTTGGGGAGAGCCATTTGTCATAACCCCCAAAAGAGGACTACACATACAAGCTACTTTGATATGTTACAACTTAATTTTAACACCACATATTTATTTAATAATGGTACAGCATACAATGGAAAATTGGAATAGTTGGACAGCACAAGGGAGGAAGGTAAGGCTATCTACTCTGGACTTAGTCCCTAGTAACATCTAATCTGTCATGCAACTGGACCTGTGCTTACCAGAAATGGATGTTGGATGCCTAACCTGGCTCTAGCCTATATTGGTTATAGTGCTCCAAGCTAAAACTAGCTATAAAATCGTAGACCAGATGGGAAATGGTTAACCAGAATTAAATGAGCTGCAGATAAACTCTATTGCAATAACAAGATTCACCTAACAAGCAGAAAGTTTACCACTACGCATGCACATTGTGTGGCAGTCTGAACTATCTGGTATAATGCATGGACATAACAACAAGGGAACAGATATATTTCTGTCACTGTTCATTAATTATACACATACTGACACCCAGAAGCTATGGGCAACAATAGTAAACCATTAACACAGAAACACTTGCCTAATAACGCCTGCTTTTGGTCTGGAATACCAACAGTTCCTCCTTGTAGACATGTGGTCTCAGCTCCTCTCTCTTGACTCCTCCTTCTGAGATTTCCAAACAAGCTTCCCAGATACAGGGAGTGTATATACATAATTACACAAAAGGGGAGATAACCCCCCCCCCCCCCTATGTAATAGCATAGAGCAGGTGACAGGTTCTCTATTAGACCTTTACAGTCACCTCTACACTCAACAAGCATAAATCATGCTCAATTAGCTGCCCTGACCACAGAAGCTATGACAATGACGCAATCACAGCTCTAAACCCAGAAGTGATCACTTGTCACTTCTGGGTTCATTCTAGTTGGGGTAGATCAGTAAAGAGCTCCCTCCACCTCTCCCTGCTGACTTTCACCATGGAAGCTAGTAAGAAGCCAAGGATATATGGCACGGAGGTGGAACATCGCCCTTTGACCGAATTACTTCCACAAGAAAGTCAAAAGTCAGTGTAGAAAATTTAAACAAGCCTCTGGCTGCTTTAGCTTAGCTTTACTACTGCCATACAACAGAAGTAAGTGGCAGTAAAAGGAACTGTATGGGGTAATGTGGAACAGTACAATTTCCATGGACAGCATCAGCGACACCATATTCTGGCATCACATAGTTTACATCTGTAGTGGGTTTTTTTTTACATTATTATTTGGCTTAGTGGCTTTTTTAGTAGTTTTATTAATTTTTTTTTATTAGTTAGCTGACATCTGATTTTTTCATTCAGCGGTAATAGGCCTGAAATGACCAGTGAAAGTAGGAACCACAAACATTATTATTATTATTATACAGGATTTATATAGTAATAACGCCAACAGTTTGCTCAGCGCTTTACAATATAACGGGAGACAATACAGCAACAATACAGTTCAATACAAGAGGGATAGGAGTTCAGAGGAGAGAAAGTAGGGTAGCCAGGCAGAGAAATCATCAACAAAGCGCAACACCGGTCCAGGATGCCAATAGATTACTGCAATCCTCAGAGAAATGGGAGGAAACAGCCAGATTCAGTGAGTCTCAAAAGAAGAGAAGCATAGAGAGGGAGGGTTAGGGAGGACATGAAAGGTGCTCAGTGGGGATAGAAGCAAACCAACCCCTCCTCTTTTTCAACCACTTGGTCAGGTTGAGTGGGTCCAGAGGAGGCTTCCATAGGAAAGTGCTGTGGGAGAAGAAGAATCTGCTGCTTGAAGCCAGGTTTCTGTAATTGCTAGTAGGTTAACCTCCTTAGCGGTAATTCCGAGTGTAGCTCGGGTAAAATTTCTATACCAAAAGCAGTAACCCCGAGCTACACTCGGACTTACCATGCGACGCTGCTCTGGGGGTCCCTGCAGCACTTACCTTGTCCTTCACTCCCACGATGTGTCCCCTGTAGCGTCCCTCCGGCCGATGCCGGCATCCGACTTCTGTGTTCCGGTCCCTGTGACGTTGGGACGTACGGGCGCCGGAAACGGTGGGAAATTTGAAATTTTTTTTAAAAATGTCATTTTTGCTGTCATTGCTGTTTCAATGCATTTCACATATATTTTGTCCCTACTGCTTTGTCCTGCGCCCTGCCTGCATTTTCAATGTTCTTTCTGCCTGGAAACTGAGAAAAGTCCATGGCGTCCAAAAAGCGTCCCTTTACGTCAAAAGCGGTTTTAGAGCAGCGATAGTAAATCAGAACCACTTGCAGAATTGAGTGATAATGATTCGTAGGGAAATTCGTCATCAGACACTGAAAACGATTTTGCGACTTTGCTCAGCGATGTGCGAATTTGCCTCTGTATTTCAAATTTCAGTGTTTTTGGTTTGATTATATTATTGAATTAAATTTATTATTATTATATTAATATTTTTTTATGATTATTTATTAAATTATAATTTATGATTTCGTGTTTCAAATTTTATCATATCCGGAATGTTTACTAGACTCTTGTTCGGACAGATTTCAGTGAGCTTTCCTAAAAATTACAGCCTACAATAAAAAACTACATATTTCCATGCAAAAAAATGGTACCGCTTTCAGCACAAAAAATCGGAAAGAATCATACCGCCAGGGAGGTTAAGGGATCAGGAGACAAAAAGGTCATGGACAGAAGTGAGCTTATTACAGACAGAGCGGGCATTCCATAGCGCACATGAAAAAGGGAGGGTGGTTTTTGGGAGCACGGGGACTGATATTTAATTGAGGGGATTGCGGCTATTCCTGGAAGAAAGAGGATGCCTGGTGTGTGGGTGAAATAGTGGAGGACTAGGGTTTGGGGACATATCCCCAGAGGTTAGGAGAAGAAGAAGGGTGAGGAAAGTAAGATGGGAGCAGGATGTACACGAGTATGTGAATTGGGGAGGATGTTTCTCAAACACAGACATGACACAGGCCACAGTCATAAAAAGTGCAAGAGGTGAGAACCAATGGGCTCCCGCTGCAGTCTCAGCCAATGAGGAGAAAGAGTCTCCAGACAGCAGAG